CACTGGGAACACCCGGCCCGCCCGTGAGAAACATTTCGTTTCGGGAGCCGGCAGGGGAGGGCTTGGCCTGCTTCGCGTTCCTAGTGCCAGCAGCTGTATCACCCTGCAGCCCCCCCCACAGGAGCTCAGCAGGTGTGAGCCTGGTCAGTACCTGGAGGGGAGACTCCTGGGGAAAACTAAGGTTGCTGCTGGAAGAGGTGTTAGTGGGGCCAGCAGGGGGCGCTCTCACCCTGTGGTCTGTGTGGGTCCTGATGCCCCAGTATAGTGACGGGGGACACTAGATTGTAAACAGGCGCCGTCCTTCGGATGAGATGTAAAACCGAGGTCCTGACTCTCTGTTCTCATTAACAATCCCAGGGCGTCTCTCGAAAAGAGTAGGGGTGTAACTTCCCAGTGGCCTTTACCAATAATAATAAACTGGCTTCATCCCTCTGCTCTCCTCCCCACTGAGAGCCACAAGTCGCATCATCCAGGTAGGGGCTGCACATTGGTGGTGGGAGTGGGATTTCCCATTACCTGTAACGTGCTTTGAGTGGAGTGTCCAGAAAAGCGCAATAGAAGTGTCAGCAATTATTATTACTACTGGTGAAGCTACGGGGACAGTGAACTGTAAAAAGGTGCTGTCCATCGGATGAGACTCAAAAAGAGTAGGGGTGGAATTTCCCATTGGCCCTTACCAATCATGGCCTCCTAATTACCCCCCCTCTCTGAACTGGCTTCATCACTCTGCTCTCCTCCCCACTGAGAGCTGCTGTGTGGGGGGCGTTCTGGCGCACTATGGCTGCCGTCGCATCATCCAGGGTGGGGGCTGCACATTGGTGGTGGTAGTGGGATCCCCCGTGACCTGTGCAGCGCTTTGAGTGGGGTGTCCAGAAAAGCGCTCTACAAGCGTCGGCAATTATTATTACTACTGGTGAAGCTACAGAGCCCTTTCCCAAGCTACGCATTAACCCTCCCAGTCCGGAGCGGGAATACTCACCCTGGTAGCAGACGAAGTTTTTCTGCTGCCCGCACGGGGCATCGTTCCACGTCCCGCCGCCCGACATCTCCACGCAGTCCTCCTTGCCGCGGAGGTTGTTGGGCTCGCCGGCCATCCAGTTCCGAAAGCCGTAGCCCCCCTCGCCCGACG